GGAAGCTGAACAGGCAGGCCTGGATGCTGCTATCTTCAAGTCCTTCTAGACCTGTGTGGTGGAGAGCATCCTGACCTCCTCTTTTACAATGTGGTATGTAATCTGCACTGTGGCAGAGAAGGAGGCGCTGCAGAGGGTGGGGAAGTCTGCTCAAAGCACCACTGGCTGAAGCTTACCTTACGTACAGCACATTTACCCCACCAGGTTAAAGAGCAGAGCCACCTGCATCCTCCATGAGCCCACCCATCCTGCACACGCACTGTTGTCCTTCCCTGCCTTGACGTAAGAGGCTGTGCCACATCAAAAACCTCCAGACTGAAAAACGGCTTGTATGCAGTCAAATATCTGATCTTCTCCGCACCCCAAACACTTCACACTCTGGCAATCTGAATCTGTGAACCGCTGCTGACGTCTGGCTGTTGTATGCTGCACTCTGCTGCTCCGACCACTTTAGCTTCAGTTACATATCGCTATCATCTATTTATTTGTGATCAACTATTCTATTTAAATAATACTTATTTTAGGCAATGCCGCTCTATTTCTTGCATATTTTATTGCATTTTTATTATAGCGTACACCAAGTCTTTTGTAGCCGTTTTCCATTCTTACCATATAATAGTGTGACAATAAACTGAGTCTAATAACAGGTGCCCTGACCGCAGATGAGATACAGGTGCACGTGTGTACAGCTGAGAGGAAATAAGAGCAGGAAAACAAACCACCAGTAGAAATAAACACTTGATTGTACTGATTAACTACAAACTAAAGCTTCAAACAGGGGTGTGAGGGTCTTACTAATAGCCAGAATAGTTGTGACCGAGCAACTCCAAGAGATGCAGTAAATTTATAGTGTTTATTTACAAATGTGAATAAAGGTAAACCATAGAACTGCAACCCCAGTGGGAGGGACTGGAACCCTGAAGAGCAAGGAGAACAGTTAGTAGAGGGAATAGGTCTGCAGGTGGTTCGAGTAATTTGCAGGCAGCTTACTGTAGGAGATGATGGTAAGCTTATAGCCATGAGGGTTCATAGGTTCCAAAGGTAGTCCAGAGAGGTCCCAGAGATATGATGGGCAAGTGGGGAAGGCAAGGAGCAGCTGAGGAGATAACCAGAAGATTCACAAAAAGCACTAGGAGGTCCAGGGCATCAAGGGAACACAGGGAGATGCTGAAAAATGCAGGAGCAAGGTGTTAGTCTTCGCAATAATGATAAGAATACGATCGAGGCCAGGAACCAAATAACTCATCCCAGTCTCAAAGAGCTCCGCAGTGACTGGTCTGAATGACTACCGGCCAGTAACCCTCATCCTGATAGTCGCTAAATGCTTCGAAAAACTGGTCATGACCCACATCCAAACAACCATCAACATCAACGAGGACCCTCACCAGTACGCATACCGTGAGAATCGGTCAACAGAGGACGCCATTTCCTCTTTGGTCCACACTGCTCTCAGCTACCTGGAGCAGAAGGACTCCTATGTCCGTATGCTCTTTGTGGACTTCACGTCTGCCTTCAACACCATGATCCCCCAAACCCTGATGGACAAACTACCCACACTAGAACTAAGCCCCTCCATTTGCAACTGGGTCCTGGACTTCTTAACAAACAGACTGCACAGTCAGTGAGAATCCACAACTTCTCCTCCTCCACCATAACCCTCAGCACTGGCTCCCCTCAGGGATGTGTGCTGAGCCCTCTCCTGTTTACTCTGCTCACGTATGATTGTGCAGCCAGCTACCCATCCAGGCTGTTACACTGTAAAGTTTGCAGATGATACAGCGGTGGTGGGATGCATCACAAACAACGATGAGTCCAGCTACAGGCAGGAGGTGGAACACCTGGAGAGCTGGTGCAAAGAGAATAACCTTCACATCAATGTGAAGAAGATGAAGGAGATGGTCGTGGACTTCAGAAAGAACAACAACACCTACACCCCCCTCCCCTTAACATAGGAGGGTCTGCAGTGGAAGTGGTCTCCTGCTACAAGTACTTGGATGTGCACCTGTATGACAACCTGAGCTGGGGCAACAACACCGCCAGCTTGAGAAAGAAAGCTCATCAGAGACTCTACTTCCTCAGGCGGCTGAGACGAGCTGGTCTGAGAAGCTCAGTCCTCACCTCCTTCTACAGGTGTGCAGTGGAGAGCATCCTGTGCTCCAGCATCAACATGTGGCATGAAGGCTGCACAGCTGCAGAAAGAAAAGCTTTGCAGAGAGTGGTGAAGGCTGCACAGAAGACTGTTGGAGTCAGTCTCCCCACCATCACAGACATCTACACCTCCAGATGCAGGAAGAGAGCCACCTGCATCATGAAGGACCCCACTCATCCAGCACACACTTTTTGCCCTGCTCCCCTCAGGCAGGAGGTTGAAGAGCATTAAGTGTAGAACCACTAGACTGAGGAACAGCTTCTACCCTGAGGCTGTTAGACTCATGAATCTCTAACCAGAATAATCACTGAAGAATCACATCATGCTGCTGCTGATCTATTTCATGTTGCTGTGTTCATGCGTGCTCATCTGCTCACACAGACTCATGTTCGTGCTGATGTTCGGCGTATTGTTTTTATGCTTTTAGTGCTTAGCATATTTTTAGTTGATGTTTTTCTTAGTTCACATCTTAGATCTTATTACTGTTTTTCTTTTACATTTTATTGTTTGATGTAACTGGGACCCTGTGTACAAAATTTTGTTCACACCACATGTACCACATGTGGTGCGAACGACAATAAAGATTCTCTGACTCTGAACACAACTACCATAAGGCAGTCAATGCTCCAGCATCAGAGTAAAGTCATCATCTGCCATTTATATCTCTGCAAATCGTCAGAGTAATGATCTGCAGGTGTGTATCTGTTGGCACCATCTGGTGTAGAGAAGCTGTAGGAGAAAACATCAAGGTTCATGCTCAATAATCCAGGTAAAACATCTAACAATGTTCAATCAGGTCATCTGGACAGTTTCTTTTTGTAGGAGAAAACCCTATAACTCCTGCAAGGGGAACACAAACTAAACCAACTAATGACAAGAAACAAATCAGCTCCGACAGCCACACATGTACGACCTCAGTTAGAAAACATGATGACAGAGGACTCGGATAAATACATTTACTAATATATAGCGTGGTCACTGAGTACACAAATTAACACATTTGTTGGGTGAAGTTGAACGTTGCACTTTTTCCAAGTTTGAGTTCTGACTTGTGAGGGGAGTGTTAGCAGCAGCTATAGGTAGTTTATCTTGAAGTAGTTCAGTTGGAGTTAACAGAACTTCCCTGATGAGGAGTCATATGTCTTCAAGAGTCAAATCTAAGTTCAGATACCTCTGACTGAACATCCTAGGATTACCCAGGAACCTGACCGATAGTCTTTATCAGTTGTACACAACCTGGCAGGTAAGACGTATATGTAAAAATAAGCAATAGTTAACAAGAAGGTCTTAGTTTAATACTGGTTGAAAAACAATAACAAGATGGTGACGGGGGGGCCCCATGCTCGTGTTTTGCCCTGGGCCCCAAAATAACTAAAGCCACCTCTGAAGAAGGGTAACAATATTTATTATGGTGTGCATGCAAGCTTCTTAAAGAAAACCCTCTGCTTTCTTTTGGTCTCATTAAGAACAGAGAAATACGGAAGTGGCTTCGGCCTTTCATCTGTTGTTTTATTTTTAATAATTTTCCCGGCTCCCAACCTGTCTTTTATTTGAAGTGTCGTGTTAATCTTTTTGATCCTGACACACGTTTGTTCCCGTCGTCCTGCATGTTGAGGTGACAGTGCTGCTCTGATCATGTCACGGGAACATCGGCTGTTGTTTTGCATCCCAGCTGTCACATCGGGACGACTCAAACAAATCTTCACCGTGTCAGCTCCATCCTCAGCCTCTGAAGCTCACATCTGCTCTTCAGGAGGCAAAACTTTCCACTTTCTGTTTATTTGTCCTGAAACCTCTCACCTTCCAATCATAGAAACTGTGCCATCACTTTCAGTATTTCAGCTGTCGGAACCATTCTATTAAAAAGTAGATATTTATTTGGTCACAACCTGTAACTTCTATCTTTCAAGAGTTTTCTGCATTTGAGTGGAACTTACTGAAGTGTTTGAGTCATGGCCTCTCAGGTTCTCGCCTGTCAAAATGTGTGTGCATGCATTCATGCAGTGTGATTTTCCCATGTGCCCGTGTGCTGGAATGCACACCAACACCTGTGCTGCCTGTTTACGTGTAAACAGAACGTCAGCCTCGAAGCCCCGTGAACATGAGGGAAGTGTCTGTTTCTGGTGGCCGCAGAGCATGTTGTTGAGTCCACGAGGTGTTTGCATAAAACAAAACGTACGGTTCCCAGGTTGACTTTATTCCTGAATTTCAAGTTGCCATCCGTTTGTCTGGAAAGTCCTGACAAGGGAAGCTGGAATTATTCATGACTTTTACACATTCTGATGTGAAAAATACTGTCACCTCCAGAGACTGAAGACTCTGCTGGCAAAGGTTTAGTTGCATAAAGTCACCGGTTATTTTCTGTGCACGTTTGTAATGGATATATTTTTTTGTCTTCTGTTTCACACCCGGCAGCACGGTGGCGCAACTGGTAGAGCTGCTTCCTCTCAGCGAGCAGGTCCCTGGTTCAAACCCCGGTCCAGGGGCCTTTCTGGGTGGAGTTTGCATGTTCTCTCCGTGCATGCGTGGGTTTTCTCCGGGTGCTCCGGTTTCCTCCCACAGTCCAAAAACATGCATGTTAGGCTGATTGGTAACTCTAAATTGTCCCTAGGTGTGAGTGAGAGAGGGAATGGTTGTCTGTCTTGTTTGTCTCTATGTGGCCCTGTGATGGACTTGCGACCCGTCCAGGGTGTACCCCGCCCCTCGCACAGTGATTGCTGGACATGGGCACCAGCGACCCCCGTGACCCAAAATGGAATAAGCGGGTAAAGAAAATGGATGGATGGATGGATGTTTCACACCCCCTTCTCACCCGCCAATCCTGTGTTGTTGTCTTTGCAGCTCGTTTGCCATGTCTAAGACAGCGGTGAAGAAGCTACACTGGCGTTCCAATGTGCAGGACACCTTCGTCCCCCTGCTTGGGGCATCAGGAGATCTGGGGGTCTCTGTTGGTGGAGGGGCGGATTATGGAGAGTTTCCCTTCATCACGTCGGCTCCAGGCGGCGGACTCACAGTGGGGGACATCGTCCTAGAGATTGGGGGAACGCCGTTACTGGGTATGACGTTAGGAGATGTTCGAGGAGTCCTCAACTCTTGTCCGCATCCAATCCGGATCAAAACTGTGTCTCCAGGTAGGACTCTGCAAAACAAAGATAATCTGTGGTACTTTGTAATCGTTTCCAGGTTAAACTAAGATTAAATTAAGCAATTTTATTAAAATGTTGTTGTTTACTCTCAAACTGAAATATGTGAACGTGGGCATGAGGATGGAATATGTTTTACTTTCAGAATGTTTCTTGTTTTATTTCAGATTAGTTTAGGCAGAAAAACACTGGATCAATATACTGAAAATATTTTTATTGTAAAAAAAAATCATTGTTTTAAATACATTATTTGACATGTTTTTAATTATTTTGAAATAGTTTGATAATGGTCAATATTGTGAGATATGTATTATTATTATTATTATTATTATTATTATTATTATTATATTGTTGTTATTATTATTTTTAAACAAGTCTCGCTTGTCAATGAGTCCTCGTGACCAAATAAGACTAACCTGTATAAATAAAGGTTGAATGAATTAATTAATTTAAAAATATTTGTCATTAATTTGGGATAATTTTTATTTTAAGGTTTTTAAATCTTTCTGTTCTTGGTGACACTTGGCATCACAGCTGATGTAAAACCACAAACAGTCACCGGAGACCAGGAGCTGAGTGTGATCAGCTCCTTTGACATCAATTAAATTTATTATTTATTTAATCAGAAGAATTCATTTGAGACCACAGGTCTCTTATCTGAAGGCAGCATAACATACATGTTTTTGAACTGTGGGAGGAAACCAGAGTATCTGGAGAAAACTCCTCCCAGAAAGACCCCAGGTCCAAACAGGAGATTGAACCCAGGGCCTTCTTGCTGTGAGGCAACATTGCTAACCACTAATCCATCATTGTGCCCTAATGAAGACCCATTACCATTCTTGTGATCAGCATTACACATCTCTGAATTAAATCCTAAAGGAATTTGACCTGGATAGCCATTATTTAGAGAAAATAAAAGTTTTTAAAATATTAACTCGTTTGTAGAAATTTACTCATATTTTTTAATTCACGTTATTATTTAGGGGTAAAACACAGTTCGTGTAGAAAAAACTTCTCAGTATTTGAAAATGTAAAGTCAATTTTCTTTTTTTTTAAATCTTAAAAAAGTTTTTTTTAATAGTTTTAACATATTAGGTTTATATTTTGATTCTTCTTTTTTTAATGACATTCGTCCAAATTTGGGATATTGTTTTATATTAGGAAAATCCTTCAATATTTTAAACTCCTTAATCATAAACGTTGTTGTTGTTGTTGTTGTTACATTCACTTTTTTCAGAAACAGTTTTATCTATTGGAAAAAAACCAGCCACTAGGGAGCACAAGCCAGTGTATCTCGTGTGCCGGTCCCAAGCCAGGGTAAATGGTGAGGGTTGTGTCAGGAGTGGCATCCAATGTAAAACACTTTTGCCAAAACCATTATGTGAGTTCATCAAAGCGAAACCATACCGGATCGGCCGAGGCCCAGGTTAACAAGGACCGCCACCGTTGCTGTTGACAAACAGGATGCCGGCGGAAATTGTGCTACTGTTAGTCGAAGACCATGAGGAGGGACATGTGTCAGGAGACAGAGGGAGAAGAGGAAAGTGAAGAATGTAGGACTGAGGATTGCAACTCTAAATGTGGGGACAATGACAGACAAAGGTAGAGAAATGGCTGACATGATGCAGAGAAGAAAGGTAGATGTTTTATGTGTTCAAGAGACCAAGTGGAAGGGCAGCAAGGCTCACAGCATTGGAGCAGAGTTTAAACTGTTTTACCATGGTGTGGATAGAAAGAGAAATGGAGTAGGGGTGGTCCTGAAGGAGGAGTTGACAAATAATGTAGTAGAGGTGAAGAGAGTGTCAGATAGGGTGATGTGCCTGAAGGTAGAAGTAGAAGGTCTAATGCTAAACATCATCAGTAGTTATGCTCCACAGGTTGGTTGTGATGATGAGGAGAAAGATACATTTTGGAAAGATCTGGATGAAGTGATAGAGAGTATTCCCAGGGAGGAGAGAGTGGTAATTGGAGCAGACCTGAATGGACATGTTGGTGAAGGAAACGGAGGGGATGAGGAAGTGATGGGTAGGTTTGGTGTCAAGGAAAGAAATCAGGAAGGACAGATGGTGTTGGATTTTGCCAAGAGAATGAAAATGGCTGTAGTCAATACCTATTTCCAAAAGAGGGAGGAACATAGAGTGACCTATAAGAGTGGAGGAAGGAGTACGCAGGTCGACTACATTCTGTGTAGTAAAGGAAACCTGAGGGAGATTGGGGACTGTAAGGTTGTGGCAGGGGAGAGCGTGGCCAGACAGCATTGGATGGTTGTGTGTAGAATGACTGTTGTTGTAAAGAAGAGAAAAAAAGTAAAATCAAAGTAGACCAAATGGTGGAAGCTGAAGAAGGAAGTATGTTGTGAGAAATTCAGAGAGGAGCTGTTAAAGGCTCTGGGTAGTAAGAAAGAGCTTCCAAATGACTGGGCTACTACAGCAAAAGTAATTAGCGAGACAGGTAGGAAGGTACTTGGTGTGTCATCTGGACAGAGAATGGATGATAAGGAAACCTGGTGGTGGAATAGTGAAGTGCAGGATGCCGTTCAAAGAAAGTGATTAGCCAAGAAGAAATATGACAGTGAGAGAACTGAAGAGAAGAGACAGGAATATAAGGAGATGGGACGTAGAGCAAAGAGGGAAGTAGCTAAGGCAAAGCAGAGAGCGTACAATGAGTTGTATGGGAGACGGGACATTAAAAAGGGTGAGAAGGCCTTGTACTGATTGGCAAGACAGAGGGATCAGGCTGGAAAGGATGTGCAGCTGGTTAGGCTTATTAAAGATAGGAATGGTAATGTTCTAACAAGTGAGGAGAGTGTGATGGGAAGATGGAGGTAGTACTTTGAGGAGCTGAAGTCCAGAAAGCTCTAAAAAGAATGAAAAAGGGGAATGTACAGATGATGTACAGAGTTGTAGCAACTACAGGGGAATTAAGTTGATGAGCCACATGATGACAATCTGGGAGAGAGTTGTGAAAGCAAGACTTAGACAAGAGGTGACTATCTGTGAGCAGCAGTATGGTTTCATGCCAAGAAAGAGCACCACAGATGCCATCTTTGCTTTGAGAATGCTGATGGAGAAGTACAGAGAGGGTCAGAAAAAACTTCATTGTGTCTTTGTGGATTTAGAAAAAGCACATGACGGAGTGCTGAGGGAGGAGGTGTGGTATTGCATGAGGAAATCTGGAGTGGCAGAGAAGTGTGTTAGACTGGTACAGGACATGTATGAGGACAGCAGGACAGTGGTGAGATGTGCTGTAGGAGTGACAGATAGCTTCAAGGTGGAGGTGGGAGTGCATCAAGGATCAGCTCTGAGCCTCTTCTTGTTTGCTCTGGTGATGGACCGACTAACAGATGAGGTCAGGCAATAATCCCCATGGACGATGATGTTTACAGATGACATTGTGATCTGTGGTGAGAACAGGGAACAGGTGGAAGAGAACTTGGAGAGGTGGAAGTATGCACTTGAAAGAAGAGAAATGAAAGTCGGCTGTAGTAAGACAGAGTACATAGGGAGGCCGGTGGAACAGTGAGGCTACAAGGAGCAGAGGTCTCAAAGGTGCAGGACTTTTAAGTACTTGGGGTCCACTTTCCAGGAAAATGGGGAATGTGGTAGAAGTGAAAAAGAGAGTCCAGGCAGGATGGAGTGGATGGAGAAAAGTTTGTGATCTGTGACAAAAAAGTGTCAGCAAAAGTCAAAGGAAAAGTTTACAAGATAGTGGTGAGACCATCTATATTGTATGATCTGGAGACAGTGGCACTGACAAAAAGACAGGAGAAAGAACTGGGAGTAGCAGAAATGAAGATGCTAAGGTTCTCCTTAGGAGTGACAAGGATGGATAAGATTAGGAATGAGATCATCAGAGGTACAGCACAGGTTGAACAACTGGGAGATAAAGTTAGAGAGGCCAGACAGAGATGGTTTGAACATGTCCAGAGGAGAGACAGTGGGTATACTGGTAGAAGGATGTTAGAAATGCAGCTGCCAGGAAAAATACAAATAGGAGATATATGGATGTAGTTAGAGAGGACATGGAGGTAGTTGGAGTGAGGACAGAGGATGCAGAGGACGGAGGGAGGTGGAGGAGGATGACTTGCTGTGGCGATCCCTGAAGAGGGAAAAGCTGAAAGAAGAAGAAGTTTTATCTATTAGAAACATCTTCTTTGTACACAAAGTAATTATTTTCTAACTTCATTTTCTGGAAAATTGTATTTATTAACCTTTATTTAACCAGGGAAATCCCATTGAGGTCACAGATCTCTTGCAAAGGAGGCCTGGGCCTGAAGGCAGCCTAACATGCATGTTTTTGGTCTGTGGGAGGAAACCGGAGTACCCGGAGAAAACCCATGCAAGCACGAGAAGAACATGCAAACTCCACACAGAAAGACCCCATTTTCCAACTGGGTATTGAACCCAGGACCTTCTTGCTGTGAGGCAACAGTACTAACCACTGAGCCAAAATTAAAATTAAACATTTATTTTGTGAAATTGTTTGCCCTTTTTAAATTTAGCTTTGAATCTGTTTAAACAATCTTTTTTTTCTTGGTCTATCGCCTTCATACATCTCCTCCTACATGTCTCTGTGTGAGTGCAGCTACAGCGTGCGCTCTCAGGACATTATTACCTGCAGTGTTCCCTCAGTGCGGACTGAACTAGGCAAAAGGGCCTTCTCCTACTCCGCTCCTGTTTCCTAGAATATCTTACAAAAAGATTTGAAGCTCTCGACCATGACCTCTCTAAATGGCTTTAAGAATCTGTTGGACTCCTGGCAGGCACCAATGCAGACATGTTCCTGTTTTTAGTTTTATACATTCGCCTTAGAATCTAGCTGTTTTTTGTTACTTTTTTTAGCCATCTTATTTGTTAAAAAAAATCTGTATGCCTTTTTATAACTGTATACCGTATTCCAAAAAAGTTCAATCTGGTCCTTTGGACATTCAAATTTTGAATGTCCAGAGGACCAGATTGAACTTTTTTGGATTTTTCTACCTGGATTATTGAGCATGCATCAGGATATGTATACCGTATTGTTGTCGCTGTTGTCCATTGTTGTCATCATTCTTTGTTGAAATCAGGTCTCTCTTGTAAATGAGTCCTCGAGGCTCAGTGGGATTTATCTGTCTAAATAAAGGTTAAATGAATTAAATAAAACACTAAGCAATTGTTTATGGAACATTTCTGATAATAATAATAATAATAATAATAATAATGATGATGATGATAGTATTTTATGCCAAAGTATTTTCCATTCTAAGTAAATATTTTCAGAATGATGTGAGTATTTGACTTTTTTAGAAGTTCTAAATGATTTTTTTCAGAAAAGTATTGTATATAACAAAAGTGCCTGCGACGTCACATTGTTCTAATATGAATCCATTTTGAAAAGATAACATTATTAATGTATTGTGAAAGAAAATGAACAGGACATGTAAACAGTGCATTGCTACAATGACTCACAACAGACAGAATCTGATGTTTCTTTAGATGGTTTTGATTCAACATCAGAGAGAAGAAGAATGGTCAGAGTTCAGATAAATTTGTTTCAGCAAAGACAAGGAAGCTGCCATTTTTAAAGAGTTCCCCTTTGATGTCACTTCCTGTTTCCCTTTGGCCACGCAAAGTCAAACAAATGCCAGTTATGTGACAAAATGGGTTAAACCAGGTGTTTTATGCCAAATTTCTCAAACATGAAGATGTTGTCTTCCACTGTTTGTATTTATCTGCATGTCACAGGCACAGGCAAGATTTTAATATAAAGCTAAAACATCTAACTTCAAAGCCCAAACCCTTTTTTCTAGTGCAGCGTGACTGTTGAGTCTGTTGCAGATGTTTGCCCCACACAAACCATATCTTATACTGAAGTCCCAGTCCTTAAACTCTAGACTGTCGCCAGCTAAACCTGTAGCTCGTAGCTTTCTGCTGCTGACTTACATTTGTTATCTGTCCATGAACTGTCAGATATGTGTGGGAGGGTTCAAAAGGCTGAAGACACACGTCAAGATTGTGTCAATACGGCTTTGTGTCGACCACAAGAGGCCCTGGTGTCGTGACTCTGAGGTTTGGGACGTGGATATCTGTTGGTTTCTGAACAGGCCAATATGTCGGCAGAGTGTCGTCTTATTACGGCTCCCGGTGGCCTTGCAGGCTGAATTAATCACCGATTTGGCCACAGGGGTTTAAACGGAGACCTTTGCTCCCAATACTTCTGCTGCTGGTAGATCCATTATCAACTCTGGAGTATTCCTGGGCCTCCCTGGGCAGCTGGACTGTGTGCAGCGTGTGCAGTGATGGATGTGTTGCTGTAGCACACCTCCTCCCATTCTTTCCTAAAACTACTATGACTGCTCCCTCTGCCCCAGCTTTCAAATATGGACACCGAGCTGCCTTCCCCAGACGCAGGAAGCATAAAGAGCAGTGATTCCACAGAAGTAGCTTTATGACAGCGGAGCCCCAGATTCTCTTCTTTACCATCATCCTTCTTATGTTTGCAGAATTTGTAAAATTATCACATAATCCTCCGGGCTCGTTCAGCAGAAGAGCTCATTTTTGCTCTTAACGCAGCAGCTGCCTCAGTGAACAAAAGCTCATTCCCCAAAAGGCAACAGGCGAGATTCATTCATTCATTTCTTTCTCAGGCTTTGGCCATGTTCAACCAGACATCCTTACACACAGCCTGTAATAATAAATTAGACTTTTTTATTATTAAGCACAACACATCCACTGTGATGCAGGGTGGGCGTGCTGCAACAGACAGAGGAGGTGCGCAGACGTGTCAGGGACGTGAACAGCTAAACGGCAGCCTGCAGGGGAAGCACCGACAGAGTCCTCATCTGTCAGGGTGACAAGATATCCTCAGCCCATCAATAACAGCAAGCAGCCTGTCATCAGAGGCCGTAAAGCACTCGAGATGAGATCACAGAGGGGGGAACTGAGTCCTGGTGATCAGCTGCAACTTCTACTTCTGTCCTAATTAACCTCCCCGTCTTACATGTATAAGCAAGAGTGGCTTTTATAGTCAGGATCTAATAAACACGTCAAAGTGAGGGGCTGTAAAGTAATGAGTTTAATCATTTCATCCTTCAGACATATTTAAATGTGACTGCATGCTAGCTGTTTGCTCCTTCTCTTGTCTACGGTGGCCCTGAGGTGGAAATGAACAAACAATATTGCAAAAAATGCAATAAAAACAACAAAAATAACATTTGAAAAAACTAAATTACATTAAGTCAAACAAGAAGTGGTTTGGATTTGTTAGTGTTTTTATTTTTACTTTATTAACAACATAAAACAGAACAATGTACAGTAGGGTCATTCCTGTTTTGTTTGAGTTCCCATGCCATAATGTGGTATAGTTTGTTTAAAGGTGGGCTAATATTTATTTTATTAATCTCATCTTATATGTTTGATTCATCTCTACCATAAAACACAACCACATGTACACAAGATGAATTTATTTAGAATAATTAAATCTAATTTTAAATGCAACTTGGGTTTACTGCCATGTCTTCTTTCATGCTTCCTGAAAGTAATTAAAAAAAGTCATTTTAAAATAATTTTAATAGTATTATTTATAATAGTTCTCATCCAATGACTTTTTATGATATCAAAATATTTTTTATGCTTAAATTATTAAAAATATCTCGGGTCCCTGAGTCAACTGTCCATCCTGTTACTCTAAAATACCTGTCACCCCGGTTTGGCTTAATGTAATTCTGTTTAAAAAAAAAAATGTAATTCTGTTTTTTTTTTTAATGCAATTCTGTTTTTTTAATGTAATTCAGTTTTTTAAAAAAGTAATTCAGTTTTTTTAAATGTAATTCTGTTTTTTTATGTAATTCTGTTTTTTTATGTAATTCAGTTTTTTAAATGTAATTCTTTTTTTTTCATCACTTCTGCTTTGGCTTAATGTAATTCTGATTTTATTTTATTTTTCAAATGTAATTCCAGTTTTTCAAATGCTGCTCATTTACAGCTCAGGGCCACCGTACTTGTCTCCTCTCCATGTCATCCTTGTGTTGTTTGCCCACAGGCTCCACGTTGTGCAAGGATCTCAGGTTGTATCTGAGTAAGTGCTTCACACCTGGCTCGGTGGACAGCCAGCTTCAGCAGGTCATCAGAGAGAACCTCTACCTCCGAGCAGTGCCCTGTAAGTCTCGTTCAAAATCATCACATCACCTCAAATCTTTCACGCGTCTCCTCGTATCCTTTAAGTCTTCTGCACACATTTACACCTCGTGTTCCACGTACTTTACATTTATTGTGATTTTTTTATACTGCCGACAGACTTTTATTAAAAATGCATTGAAGCATATCTCTTTTTGTTCATTATCGACCTCATTAATTCTGTGACAACATATCTCCTGTTGCCGTCATGTGAAGATCCTGGTGTTAATTAGCGTTTAGACATGCAGAGCAGCTTTCCACACTTCCCTGTGCTGCTGCAAGTTTGCACTTGGTGATTTCATTTACACAATTACAAAAAACTTTGCATATAAGGCCGTCATTTACAAGACTTAAATAGCTTATATCAAATTTCAGTTTAAGCTTATATTGCCACCCATGAAATACTTATTCATACAAATTCATCCAACTTGCACCGTTATGTTCTACCATTTTATTTACTATTTTTCTTTTAGACCTTGTAAATATTACAGTAGTCTCTCTTTTATCGCGGGGGATCCGAGAAGTGAAAAACTGCAAAGTAGGAATAGTAATACAAGTAGTAAGTAGTAGTTTATTTTTATATATTTATATATATATATAATTTATAAAGGCATTTTAAACCCTTCCCATACTCTTGCAATATTCTAAACAATGTTTCTAATCTCTAATTACTCTAAACAAGCACAGAAAGTCATGATTTCAGCTTCCTGCCTCCTCCTTTCTTTGCCACCTGCAAGCACTCTTGGCCACGCCCACTTATCAACTCTGTACGGAGATCAGCTGATCAGCTGCAGCAGGAAGTTTATCCTGCAGTATGGGCTGCACAAAGCTGCAGCAGATGCTAAATAGTTTAAAATTTATTTTAAATCAAAATTCCATGCCGATCGTGCGGCTCATCCATCAATCAGCCAATTGTGTGTCGTGTCCAATCTTATTTTGAAAAACCGCGATAGAACGAGTTTGCGATAAATGAACTGCGAAGTAGCGAGGGACTGCTGTATATTTCTTTTTCACTTTTGTGGTACTTTATTTTGTACCCTTATTGCATGCTTTAGTGTTTCTTGTTAATTCTTTTGTTTTTCGCGAGTCGTATCGGTTCTTCTCATCCTGACCATTACTGCACTGTTGACCTTGTGTTAACCTGCATGTGACAAATAAACAGCATAACAGGGAGAAGGAAGCTACTGACAGAAAAACATGCAGTTGACATTAGGAAAGTATGTATTTCCACAACACTTGGTTTATTTTGTGTCAGGATGGTACCTAGAATCCACAGCGAGGTGCTGCCGGATGTGGGACTGGGTGGTAGCAGGATGCTCGTAAATCTGGTGTTCTTTTTTTTTCCCAGTCTCTCCCTGCAGTTTGATTTAGATTATTTTGAATAAAAGCCAGCGCAGCAGCAGCCAAACGCATCGAGTAGTTGTGCATCTGTTGCTAACTTAATCCTCTACATGACGTCAGAAGAGGTTAAAACAGCTGAGGAGTCTGAGTCACAACCTTCTTGTTGCAATTTCCTGACATTCGTTCCTTGAAAATTAATAATTTGTTCACGAGGTGACGTGGGGGACACCCACCTTGCAGTGTGTGTCTTAACCGTGTGGTGGGAGCGTGGAGTCGTTGCTAATCTCCCCTTTAGTCCAAGAAGTAGGTCAAATGGCACAGTCTGCCACTACAGCCACACAACACACTCGCTGGCTGAACAAAGGACAGTTCAGAGCCCACGAGCACACGCTGGAGACATAAACTGTGTCTCAGGACAGCAGGTTGAGGTGTGTTTGCAGTTTTAGCCTGTTTAAGCCTGAACTGTTCCTACAAGCTGCAGACAGACTGTTTCTCAAATTAACATCTGAGCTAAATGCTACAATCACAACAGGTGGGTATTTTACTTCTAGAGATAAAGTATTATCAGGAGAATATTAAAAGTTGAAGCCATGCACAGATTTTAAATATCGCTCCATATTTCTAACACGGTTGAGTCAGGTCCTCTGGATGGATTCTTCTTTGCTGAAACGTTTGTCCAGAGGACCTGACTCATCAGTTTATCTACCTGGATTACTGAGCATGCATCGGGACGTTATTACATATTCATTTTTTATGCTTTTTGTGCCAGTGTTGCCAAACTTTGCAAACTTCCTCCGACGTCTGGCTGCTTTAATTTAGCAAAGAGTGACAACAAGTCCGGCTCAGCCCCTGCGTGTGTAATCCCTCTGATCTCCTGAAGATGACACAGTAACATCCTGTTGTTCACATGCTAACACCAGGACACGCGTGCACGTCTGAACCCAAACTACCACTCTGAGATGATCACTTGTTGTTTCAGACTGCAGGAGCTTTTCACTGTTTGATTCTTTTCATGAAGGAGGCAGCTGCACCTGAGGAGGTTTCATCAGTGGCTCATTGTGGCCCCCTTCAGGACCACAAGTATGTTCTTCCTGCTCCTTGTGTAGCATTTCCTATTTGTGCTGTGTTATAACTCTGAATTTCCTGAAGTTGTGATTAATTGGCCTCGATTGGAGTTTTTCAATTTGGTTTTACAGCAAAGTAGCAGACTGTTTATCACATAGGATCATTACCTTTTAAAAAATTCTGTAAAAATGTGGCTGAACGGCTGCACTGTTTAGATTATTTTAACGAGACAAAATTGTTTGGTACAGAAGCTGGCACTGATGCAGGTCATTACATTACAGAGGCTCAGCCAGGAGGGCAGTGCATAAAAATGGATATGAATGACAGCATTTAAGTAAAGGCAGGCTACACCATCAATAATCTGGAGGGGCGAATTAAATTAAAAGCTAATGTCTGTGAGAGACAAAGTGGAGGAGGGGGCGGCAGGATGCTCTCTGCGGAGCAGTTTTCATGCTGTCTGCTCCTTTTATGACAAACCATTTTAAATAAGTCAGCTGTCTTTTTCCAGAGAGCGTAAATCTCTGTTTTGTGGCGATTCTCTCCAACTTTCCCATCCAGTTTTTTTTTTTGTCTAAGCATGTGTACTCGTGTCCTTGGACGACTCGGAGACAAAGTCGTAGTCTCAAGTCTTCATCTCTTCCATGAAAGGGCTTTTTTTTTTCTTTCTACTTTTCTCCAGAGCGACTCGCAGATAAGAAACATAATTTAGTTATTTAAAATGCTCGCTCCAGGGTGTCAGACAGACCGTTCGTGGCCTTTTCAGCCGTACGGTCCGTTGTGTGCAGCGGTCCTGACAGACAGCGCTCTTTGGGTGTTTATAGAGTTTTGTGTAATTACCTCCTTCAGTCCCTCTTTCACCCATCTTCCAGGGGATCAGTGCCTACAGGGGCAGGCGAGGAAGAAGATGTCAATAATCCATTCTGTCTCCCCGCTGACATGCCATCTATATATATATATTTATCTCAGAGGAGGCTGTATAGATAATGAATCCCTGCCTCACACTGTATCAGCTGGAGAGATACTGTGCGCCCTGAGGGGAGGAGAATAAGAATTACACACAAGCCAGATGTCACGAGGACATTTGTTATCTGATGTTTAATTAGCCACTGACGACTCAAATTTTTCTTAGGCTGAGTGAGTTTGAGGTGCACGTTTATGTGGAACAAAAAACAAACGGGCTCTAATATAAAAGCCGATTGTCTTGTCTGTGAAAACAGCTGAAACCGTACACTGTCTCCACTTGAGAAGGTGTCCACTGATCCTAAAGGACAAGGCAACAGATTAGACACCTTAAAGGAGTGCGTGGAGACGCTAGTGAGACACGGTGCACAGATCCCGGGCATCCCACCAGCAGGCAGACAGCCAGAGCTGACTGTAAACACACTTTGTGCTGCAGAGGGAAGAGCTGACGGATAGCTCGTCCACTGCTGGGCGTGGACTCCTGTGTGTGAGTTGGCAGAATTGTGTGTGAGAACCTTTGTTTTGTTTTGTTTCTTCCTGTGTGTGTGTGTGTGTGTGTGTGTGTGTGTGTGTGTGTGTGTGTGTGGGCGGATGCCGGTGCAGTCCTGCGTGTGTCACCGCTGCTGGGAGCGCTGCTTGCAGGACAGCAGTGCATTAATCACAGGTTTTATAGGGTAGCTGGGTGTGACTTCCTCCTGCTGCCACCCTACACACACACACACGCACACACGCACGCACACACGCACACGCGCACACACACACGCGTGCACACAGACGTCACATGTCGTCCTCCAGGGGAAGGACAGAGATTTGTCTTTGGTGTGATTTTTAGATTTTGTCTGTGGACAAAGTGACTTGAAGGTCAGAATGGGGGTCGTTCTGTTCTCGTTTGCAAATTAGAATTCCTCCAGTAGTTTAATGAGAAACATAAAAGTGACATACTCGAGGCATGCTTACTCATGTTTAATTGTGTGGAGGTGTGAGGTTTGTGTTAAAACAACAAAGAGGTTTTGTCTCGTGCACAAAGCCTCCCCAGCTCCGGTTGTTTGGATTTTCAGGCCAAGGTCGCCGTGATTCAATTATGATGACAGATTGTTGATCAACTGAGTGCTCCACTTTTACAACTTGAAGAGTTTCTCTGCATCACATTAATGTTTCATTCAGCTCTTATTGATCAGTTCGTAATAAAGTAAATGCCTGTTAGCTTCATACAAAAGAGAATATTTGGTCTGAGGGTGACGCTCTGCTGATAAAATGAAATTATTGTAATTACAGATGAATGTGATTTGTATTAGAGTCTGATTGACTTTGTCCTTTCTGCAGTGTAGTTTTTAATCTTCCCAACCTGCGTGCAATCATTAGCTTGTTTCCTTTTGGATTGTTTTTGCATCATTTGTCAAACGGATGCACTATTTATAGCGTGCTGACCAGCAGTTTGTTTAAACACTGAGCTCAGATTGATGAGCCCTGATGGGAGGGAAAGGCTTTGATTAACTGATCAATCATCGCTGTCAGAGCTGGTATTATCTGCAGCCTCATCACGACGCCGTGTCTTCCCTCACAGGTACAACCCGGCAGCCCCGAGACGGGGAGATCTCAGGGGTGGACTACAACTTTGTTTCCATCGAGGAGTTCTTCTCTTTGGAGGAGTCTGGAGTGCTGCTCGAGAGCGGAAAGTTCAAAGGTCAGACAGAAAAATCATGATTTATTCACGTTTATAAAGCAACAGCATCCTTTTTATTTTATTTTAGTTTATTCCACAAAGTGTTTTGGAAAGTAAACATCATTGTTAATTTAAGTGAGTTTGTTGGCTTATAAAACAGATTTATTTTGTTAGCCAAATTTAAAGTAAATTTAGAAAGATATAGCAAAAATATTTATTGATGAAGGTAAAGTTACAAACTTGTTTAAACTATATTACAACCCCAGATTTGAAAAGAAAAAAGGATGTTCTGTAAAATGTACATAAAGACAGCATTTTGCAAGTTTTATAAACATATATATATATTCCTCTAAAACGCTCTTTTTATGCTCTGTCCTCTTACCGACCTGTTGCCAGTTAACTTAACTAGCAGCTAAATGTTCTTTCAGCTATTTATTTGTACCTCTTATTTTACAGCCTTTTGTTGCACCTGTTACAATTTTGTACGACTTTACTGCCATCAAATTCAAAATTACCTTATGTTTTCTTAAAAAAATAAAAATTTAAAAGTTTATAGGCTTATTAAATCTGTAAATCAGTCCATTCTGCCTAAATGTTTTCTGAATTTGTGTTGTGCAGAATCAATTCATGCTGTGCAGCTAAGACATTTTTTACAAAGTTGTGACTGGAGGGAAAATATTGTACTGCTGGTTTGTTGTTTTCTGAACACACAGGTAAAAAATAAAAAAAAACAGGGCTGATAACACACCCTGCAATAAAAAATATTGGATTTTATTTATTTTTTATTGAGTTCAAATATATCCTGGGATAGAATTAAAACTAAAGGAATCCTGTGGATATGTACAACCTAAATGTTAACAAGTATGAAAAACAGCTTTGACACAAAATAAAGACCAGAACACAGAAATCACCTAACAACAACCAGGAAAGTCTAAGAGTGTAAACAGCAAGGAAGACCTCCTGCACAATATTTACACTGAGGACTGTGATGACTGATTCAAGGCAGGTGTGATGATTACAAACCAAGATCAGGTGGGGCAGAAGATCTCTAACGCAGGACTCGTAGAGAATGTATACTAAAATAAATAAATAAACAGTAATAAGGTGGTACAGAACTAATTCATACCGAACAAAATCTAAACCAAAACCTGAATCAACTCAGTGACATCCCATTTCATGCCACTTTATTTAAAATGATGCCAAGATGGCCGCACTCAGCCGAGTCGCAGCTTCACAGGCTCCCTGTGAACTCGATCTTTTTCGGTTCCTGTTGTTTTTGTTTTAACTTTTTATTTTTTATTTTTTGCATTTACAATGCACATTCACCGTACGGGTATGACCGCGACACACTTGTATAGTTTTGTGTCGCTGCCTTGCCATCGTGCCATCCTGCCATTGTGGTTCAGTCCTTCCAGCCTCAGGCTCAGGTCTGTCATGGCGGCTGTCTCCATGATCCTCCATCGGCCTGCACGGACCGAACTCTACGGACCTGTTTGGTTCTGCGGGGTTCTGTCTGCTGGACCCGGTTCTGGAGTGCAGTCTAGGAGGCAGCTGCTGCAGTCACTGTTACCATCGGGCTGCTGACGGGACCTACTAACCTGCTGTGACCTCACTGCTAACAGAACCTCACTGCTAACAGTATCATGCTGCAAACTGGACCATGTTGCTAACAGAACCTC